ACGGCAAGGAGGATCCAAAAGAGGTACTGGAAGGTCGCGTCCGTGCCATCGAGGAGCGCTTTGAAGAGCAGCCCCCAGAGGTGTTTGCCAAGTCCAAAACCAAAGAGACAAATGCCAGCCACGGTACCGCGAGCATCCGGTGCCCACTTGAGCGCGGTCGAAATGGATGCGAGCACGATCACAGCAAAGGCCATGCCACCCAAGCACGTACTAGACACAGTCAATATTGTGAGGCGATCCATGTCGATAAAGTCGATGGCACGCACCCGATGGGCAGCAGTGGCCATATGCGAAGCACGGTCGCGATCTGTCCGGTCAAGAGACCAACGGCCATGACGCAGGTGCTGATAGCGAGGCTTATGCGCGGCCCCTTGCGCTCGACGAGCGGCCCGAGAAGAGCTTGCGCAAGGACAGCGAGGATGCCCGTGAGGACGATTGCATTTTGCGCATTGGAACTGTCCTCTGGAAAGCGAAAGTAGGCGTTGATTGGGCCCGCGACGGACGAGATGGCGTAGATGGAGCCCGCGACGAATTGCAGCAGCAACGCAGCGAGAAAGATGTAGCCGCGGTGAAAGCGCAGGCAGCAGTAGCGCGGCGCCATGCGACTAGAGCTGTAGAGTGGCCAGTAAAAGACATAGCGCTCCGCATACACGGCGTACGGCGCTTGGCCATCGAGCGCCAGCGTCCAGTACGCACGAAGCATCCGAATCCAAAGTGCCAAGTCCAAAGTGATCGGTGCGAAATGGAGTTTTACACTTTGTTTGCATGACACACGTACGTGAAAATACGCCACTTGTGGGAATGTATGTTTTACACTTGTGTTTTGTAAAAGTCATTTCACACGGTGTTTCACACGTGCCATTTGGTGTAAAAGTTACATACGGTACACACGCGTGCGTTGACCAGCTGTTGCCGCCATCGGTTGTCCACACCCACATGGCCGAGTCAGCAGGCAGGCAATCGATGGTCAGCAACCCTCCCGTTTGAACGCGTGTCGGTCGCCCTCGGCGTCAGATCCGTCGCCACAGCTAGGCTTCGGTGTACATCCTACAGGACTACTCGGCTGCGATGTTGCGAATCTCTACTGTCAATTTGGCGAAGGCAATCGAACATATCATCGCCTTCCTCCAGCAAATCATCATCGTTAGTGCTTTGGATACCGTTTTTGCGATGCATGTATTATGTACAGGTGTACTAGAACCTTGAATGGTATTAATAACGTATCCCAGACTCTATGTCGCCATCGGAATGGGAAAATGTCAAAACTGGGTGAACTTGGGCCCAAATCAACCCAAACCTGGGTAAATTGCATAAAAATACATAGACTTGGTTTTACTATTGAGTGGCTCAGGGTGGCTCAAAGTGGCTCACCTCGGCGTCTTCACATGCCCCTCTCCTCCTACCCCTCCTTAACCGCAAACAAGACCTGTACAACAATCCTTTAACCTTCCTCAACACCTCACATCACCCCCACCTACCCTTCCCTGCGACTACCTTGCCAAACAACCCCAATACCCTGCCGGGAACTTAAGCGAATGGTTATTTTTTCTCCTAATTCCTGTTTTGACGCAGCTTTTACCAAACACACCCAGTTCTGTCATTTTCCCCCATCGGAATACCATAAATGTATCTTGCGAAAACATCGTCTATAAACTAAACTGCGACGGTGCGACTGGTAGACAACGCGACAGCATTGTTGTGCAATCCTTATAAGTTACTCGACCACCGCTATAACGAGTCGTCGTCATCTTCGTCGTCGTCGAGCGAGAGCGACGGCCAGAGGTACGGCATCGAGCTTCGCAGCACTTCGATACCGTCGGGCACGTCCGTGTACAGATCCCACGTGCCTTGGCGGTGTGGCTGCCACGACTTGCGCGGTCGCTGCACGACGACTTTGCCGCACACCGTGAACCGGTAGCCGCGGTAGAACCGGTCGGCCGAGTCGGTGCGTACAAACAGCAGCGCGAATAGGCCGGCGAGCGAGAGCCACCAGAGGAGTTGCACTTGAAAGGCGAGCGCCGCCACGTTCTTGGCAGTCGTGACGACGAGGAGGGCTTGGCCAATCGCCCACGTGATCGACGAGAGACCATACATCGTGCCGACGTGGTAGACGCCAAACATGTCTGTTAAAAGACAGACAATCAGTGATGCGCCAGCGTTCGAGGCAAACTGCAGCGCGTAGAGGAGCCACTCGACGTGCGCAAAATGCGTCAACTTGTCCGACTCGAGGTACGCGACAGGAATCGCGATGCACTGCAAAAGCACGAGACCCGTCAAGCAGAGTTTTCGGACGGCCGCGGGGTTGGCGTAAAAGACGCGGATACCAACGTCCGAGAGAAGAGCCGGTACGAGGCGGCCGAGGAGGTCGACGATAAGCCCGTGCAGGCGCAGTGTCTTGACGGCGTCGTCCGAGAGGTCGTAGAGGTCTTGGAGCGGACAGCGCAAGGTCGCCACCGCCGTCATGTTGTTGTAAAACAAACCCACCATGCAGTTGGCCGTGAGCGCAACGAGGAGACAGGCAAAGTCGGTCGAAAAGATGCACTGGGGCAGCGACATGGCCTTGACTTGCTCGTGGTACCGACGGTCCGTGCCCTCGACAAACGAGTTGCTCCGGCGGGTGACGGCGCGGTAGTTGACGAGCGTCATGCCAATCCGGAGGTACTCGTCTTGAACAAGGTCGACACTTGGTGCTTTCACGGACGGAATGCAGTGCATGTCGTAACCCGCAACGCTAAAGTCAGGTGGCGGCGTCCGCACCAGCAGCGTCGCGACCGTCATTGTCGGCACGAGCGTCAATAAGAGGAGCACAAAGGTGTACTTGAGATCCATCCCGGCGGACGTCGTCACGTGGTTGTACAGCGAGGCCCAGAGCTGCTTGCCGACACCGAACCCGACGAGGCAAAAGCCCGCGACCGAGCCGCGTGCGTCCGGACACCACTTCATCGCAATCGAAATCGATAGAATCATGATGGCGCTAAAGGCCATGGCCACGCTTAGCATCCTATCACGCAGCGCTTAGCCGGTGGCGCTCACGAATGAGAAAGGACCGTACGCCATATAAAAGAGAGTCCAGGACGGCAGCGACACGGCGAGAAGCGACGCGCTGAGGCCGAGCGTGAGGATGAGCGTCGCGATCGCCATGCTCCAGCGCGGCCCTTGGCGCTCAAAGAGCGGGCCGAGAAGGACCTGCGCGAGGATGCTGAGCACGCCAGCCACGAGGATGAGCTGGACGGCGCGCGCGTCGCTGGTCGGGAAGCCGAAATAATGGTTGATCGGGTCGGGCAGCGCCATGAACGCGTAGAGCGATCCAGAGCAAAACTGAACG